TGGCATATGTCTTTTCAGTGATATTTTATACTTACTGAAGATATGCCTGATATAAGGCATATATATAATTTTAAACTATACTACTAGTTGAAGTGAGATTAATAACTTGTTGGCTGTGCTATAAATGTTGTATAACTTGAGTTTATCAATGGGATTCATTTGCTTTTATATGAATTTATAGTCCTGAGGTGTTGACAGTGTTCATATTCTTTTCTAACACACTGGGCATCTCCCACTGAGGCAGGGAGACTGAAAAAAGAAACACTTTCACCATCATTCAGACGATCAGTGTCTTGCCAGAGGCTTGCATGTATGCATGCATGCATGAATGCATGCATGAATGCATACATACATGCATACTTACATACATACTTACATACATACATACATACATATGTATACAATGGTACCCCGAGTTTCGAACTGCTCCCAACTCGATCAATTATGTAAGTGTATTATTGTAAGTGCTTTTGTAAGTGTATTTTTGGGGGTCTGAAACGGACTAATTTAATTTACATTATTCCTTATGGGAACAAATTCTTTCCGTAACGGCACTTGAACAATCTTCTGGAACGAAGAAAGTTCGAAATTCGGGGTACCAATGTACATACATACATGTTTAGACTTTGCAAAACAAGTGAAATATTTATTAACATTAGTCTCAGACTAGAAGAGATTTGAACCTACAAGCTTTGGGACAAAGTATGCAGTACTATTTTTCACGATTTGTTTGCCACACTGGTCAGTGCTTTGGTGCCAAGCCAATCTAGGCATTGGATCCAAAGCAGTCAACAGCAGGCAGATGATAAGTTTTACATCTTATTTCCAACATGCACCAATCAATGAGAGATATTAGAATGTTTAGACGTCGCAGAACAAGTGAAATATTTACAAACATTAATCTCAGACCAGAGTCATTTCATTTTTAAGACTATCAAAAATTTTGTGAGGTATACTGGGGTAGCAGACTGGTAAATCCCTCAGTTGCTTAAATGTATGTATGCTGGTAGAATTACCAACAGTATGTAAAGTAAAGGACACAAATGCCACAATAAAATGTCACATTAGTTGTACTTGTGTCCTTTTACTTTGCTTAAATGTAATTGAATTATCAACTTATATTACCATTGCCTCAGTATATTTGTGAACTTGCAGATTGTGGCAGGTGCCACACATTTTTATAGTTAGGTTACATTTAAATAAAGTGTACTAATTCCATTATGAAAATAATTACAGTATATAATTTACCTTGTTGCTACCATATCTAGGTGACTTTCATACAAGTTTTCCTGTGCTTGTGAAAAATCCATATACGTACTGTAATGATATAGTACATTAAATAACAATCACCTACCATTGATTAAGTACAGTCAGTAGAGCTTACATACGTTGTATACCTTTATTAATGAAGTTTTGGCCACACAGTGAGTGGGTTAAACATTGTCATTAATAGAGAAATCCATTATATGTAGGTACCAATTTCTCCATCGTGTCATTATTTATGTGCCATTCCTGAGTTGTAAATAGACAGGTCAAACAATACAAATCTATGATTTATTAAAATATTGTATCAAATTCCTTTGCAGTTCCATAAAGTTAGAATTTAAAACTATTCTTAGGTATAGTACATTTAGCATAATTACAAATATCCTAGGTTGTAGGTTGGTTGGTAGACAGCATCCACCCAGGGAGGTACTACTGTCCTGCCAAGTGAGTGTAAAATGGAAACCTGTATTTGTTCTATATGATGGTAGGATTGCTGGCATCTTTCTTCTGTCTCATAAATATGCAAGTTTTCATGTACGTCTTGCTACTTACACTTAGGTCACAGTACACATACATGTACAAGCATATATATACCTACCCCCTCTGAGTTTTCTTCTATTTTCTTGCCAGTTCTTGTTTATTTCCTCTTATCTCCATGGGAAAGTGGAACAGAATTCTTCCTCCATAAGCCATGCATGTTGTAAGAGGTGCCTAGCATGCCGGGAGCAAGGGGCTAGTAACACCTTCTGTATATATTACTAAAGTTATGAAGAGAAACTTTTGTTTCACTTTTTGGGCCACCCTGCTTTGGTGGGATAGGGCTGGTTTGCTGAAAGAAGAGGAATTACAAATATATACAGTACTCTTTTCTTCTTTCAACAAACTGGCTGTATCCCACCTAGGCAGGGCAGCCCAAAAGGAAAAAATGAAAGTTTCTCCTTTTAAATTTAGTAATATATACAGGAGAAGGGGTTACTAGCCCCTTGCTCCCAGCATTTGAGTTGCCTCTTATGACACACATGGCTTACAGAGGAAAAATTCTATTCCACTTCCCCCATGAAGATAAGAGGAAATAAACAAGAACTAGTATGAAAATAGAAGAAAACCCAGAGGGGTGTGTATATATATACTTGTACATGCCTAGGGAAAGTATGGATTTGTCAGTTAAAAACAGAGTAGGGGAGTTAGTAGATGGGGAGAGGGAGGTATTAGGTAGATGGCGAGAATATTTTGAGGAACTTTTAAATGTTGAGGAAGAAAGAAAGGCGGTAATTTCATGCACTGGCCAGGGAGGTATACCATCTTTTAGGAGTGAAGAAGAGCAGAATGTAAGTGTGGTGGAGGTACGTGAGGCATTACGTAGAATGAAAGGGGGTAAAGCAGCTGGAACTGATGGGATCATGACAGAAATGTTAAAAGCAGGGGGGGATATAGTGTTGGAGTGGTTGGTACTTTTGTTTAATAAATGTATGAAAGAGGGGAAGGTACCTAGGGATTGGCAGAGAGCATGTATAGTCCCTTTATATAAAGGGAAAGGGGACAAAAGAGATTGTAAAAATTATAGAGGAATAAGTTTACTGGAGTATACCAGGAAAGTATACGGTAGGGTTATAATTGAAAGAATTAGAGGTAAGACAGAATGTAGGATTGCAGATGAGCAGGGAGGCTTCAGAGTGGGTAGGGGATGTGTAGATCAAGTGTTTACATTGAAGCATATATGTGAACAGTATTTAGATAAAGGTAGGGAAGTTTTTATTGCATTTATGGATTTAGAAAAGGCATATGATAGAGTGGATAGAGGAGCAATGTGGCAGATGTTGCAAGTATATGGAATAGGTGGTAAGTTACTAAATGCTGTAAAGAGCTTTTATGAGGATAGTGAGGCTCAGGTTAGGGTGTGTAGAAGAGAGGGAGAATACTTCCCGGTAAAAGTAGGTCTTAGACAGGGATGTGTAATGTCACCATGGTTGTTTAATATATTTATAGATGGGGTTGTAAAAGAAGTAAATGCTAGGGTGTTCGGGAGAAGGGTGGGATTAAATTATGGGGAATCAAATTCAAAATGGGAATTGACACAGTTACTTTTTGCTGATGATACTGTGCTTATGGGAGATTCTAAAGAAAAATTGCAAAGGTTAGTAGATGAGTTTGAAAATGTGTGTAAAGGTAGAAAGTTGAAAGTGAACATAGAAAAGAGTAAGGTGATGAGGGTATCAAATGATTTAGATAAAGAAAAATTGGATATCAAATTGGGGAGGAGGAGTATGGAAGAAGTGAATGTTTTCAGATACTTGGGAGTTGATGTGTCGGCGGATGGATTTATGAAGGATGAGGTTAATCATAGAATTGATGAGGGAAAAAAGGTGAGTGGTGCATTGAGGTATATGTGGAGTCAAAAAAACGTTATCTATGGAGGCAAAGAAGGGAATGTATGAAGGTATAGTAGTACCAACACTCTTATATGGATGTGAAGCTTGGGTGGTAAATGCAGCAGTGAGGAGACGGTTGGAGGCAGTGGAGATGTCCTGTCTAAGGGCAATGTGTGGTGTAAATATTATGCAGAAAATTCAGAGTGTGGAAATTAGGAGAAGGTGTGGAGTTAATAAAAGCATTAGTCAGAGGGCAGAAGAGGGGTTGTTGAGGTGGTTTGGTCATTTAGAGAGAATGGATCAAAGTAGAATGACATGGAAAGCATATAAATCTATAGAGGAAGGAAGGAGGGGTAGGGGTCGTCCTCGAAAGGGTTGGAAAGAGGGGGTAAAGGAGGTTTTGTGGGTGAGGGGCTTGGACTTCCAGCAAGCGTGCATGAGTGTGTTAGGAGTGAATGGAGACGAATGATACTTGGGACCTGACGATCTGTTGGAGTGTGAGCAGGGTAATATTTAGTGAAGGGATTCAGGGAAACCGGTTATTTTCATATAGTCAGACTTGAGTCCTGGAAATGGGAAGTACAATGCCTGCACTTTAAAGGAGGGGTTTGGGATATTGGCAGTTTGGAGGGGTATGTTGTGTATCTTTATACGTATATGCTTCTAAACTGTTGTATTCTGAGCACCTCTGCAAAAGCAGTGATAATGTGTGAGTGTGGTGAAAGTGTTGAATGATGATGAAAGTATTTTCTTTTTGGGGATTTTCTTTCTTTTTTGGGTCACCCTGCCTCGGTGGGAGACGGCCGACTTGTTGAAAAAAAAAAAAAACATGCATGTGTAGTGTGACCTAATTGTAAGTAGAAGTAGCAAGATGTACCTGAAATCTTGCATGTTTATGAGACAGAAAAAAGACACCAACAGTCCTACCATTATGTAAAATAATTACAGGCTTTCGTTTTACACTCGCTTGGCAGGACGGTAGTTCCTCCCTGGGTGGCTGCTGTCTACCAGCCTACTACCTAGGATATACAGTACATACTGTCATAAACATTATGAACGTTTGGATATAATGATGGTTATAGTTATACAGAGCACTGTACATGAAGTTATAAAGAATAAAGAACATTTTTCATTTAATGAATAATATACTGTATATGCACATCCAAACTTATGAAATACTATTCTCCAAGAAATCTGTAGTCAAATTCTAGTGGCTCTACAGTAATTTCTAGTAACTTTTGTCTTTTTTTTTCCATTTGACTTCATCTGTTGCTTGATCCCTACTTTGTGTCAAAGGTCCTGCACTTTCTTTGAATCCAAGATGTATAAATTTTATTTCAGACATCATTATTTTAATTATTATAGGGTCACTGTCAGATGCTGTGGGTCATGTCACAATGGATGAAAAACATGAGGAACACCGACAGAAGTTACGGGCGCTGCAAGCAGTAAATGGAGCAGATCATATTGTTACAGGATTACGAGGCCTTGGTCTTGGCCTTTATGGTGGACTCACTAGTATTGTCTCACAAACTTATACTGGAGCAACTCAGGAAGGTTTTCCAGTAAGTGTCTGGTTTTTGGTTAGGAAAACCATGTTACATAATGTATTATTACTAGTATTTAAGCATTTTTTTTATAAATAATAATCATATTACATGATAAAACATTAGAGAGATTTACTAAAAAAATTAAATGAAGACTTGCCTTAAAATATATATTTTTACAGGGCTTCATATCTGGCTTTGCAAAGGGAATGGTTGGCACAGTTACCAAGCCAGCTATTGGGTTATTGGATCTGGCAAGCAGCACATCTCTAGCTGTTCGTGACACAAGCAAAAAGTTAGTACTGTACATAGTATTGTATTATGCTTTAAGGAAATAGTGTGCCACCTTAAACTTTATAATCAAGATTAAAAAAACTGAACATCAGCCATCTCCCACCAAGGTAGGGTGACTTAACCCAACCTCAACCCCAGATTTATATACCCTTCTAGTCATCTTCTTTTTACTCCATCCAGTTTAAATCCCTAGACCATTTCAGTAACTACTCCTAAGCCCTCTGAATTACAGAATTCTTTTGGTGAACCAGTGCCATCTTATAATGTCTTTGCTCTGAATTCTTTGCATAATACATACTGTATTCACACCAAACATTGCTGTCAAAGATGAGAGCACTCTAATCTGAAGCTTTCCCTTTTTTGCCTCAGTGTATAAATTTTCTCTCAGATGCCTCAACACATCACTACCTTTTCTTTCTGCCCATCATCTATTCTATGGTTTGCCTTATCTTCATAGACCCATCAGCCAACATGTCCATTCCCAGATCTCTAAATGCATCCACTTCCTCCATACTCACTCCCTCCAACACGATATTCAGTCTTTCCTACATTTATGTTTTTCTGATTGTCAGGTCATTTATCCATGTATAGTACATGTCAGTGGTTGGTGGGCAGGGAAGGACTGGGAAAATGATTGGGATTCATTAGCTGTGTGGGGCAGGGATTGGAGAATGGGGAGTTAACATTCTTTTTCCTCTCCTTACCCTGACTTGGCTTACTGTACTCATCCTCTCTTCCCATACAATTATGGTACCTCATCACTCTACCCATACCATAAACTGAACAATAATATTTGTTAACATATCCTGTGCAACCATGATTTGAATTGCATGTTAATATAACTTAAAAGAGAAATAAGATATTGATTTGTCTTGAAGATGGAAGTAGTAGCAAGTCTGGCAGATTTGCAGTGATCTATTTTTGTATTGTAAACAAACTAAGGAAAGAGAGCAGCACTCCTACCATCATGTAAAACAATTACAGGCTTCCATTTTGCACTTGCTTGGCAAGACGATAGTACCTCCCTGGGTGGTTGCTGTCTACCAACCTACTACTTAGGATTATCAAATTTATTTGTATATTTAAGGTGGAATATGGTTGCTGGTTTTGCTCTAGATGCACCATAAGGAAGTAAGAATCTAGTGTGTGGTTGACTTTCATTATCTAAGAATATAAACCTCTCAAAAGTATTACTCTTGAGTAAGTTAATCCCCCCACCTTCCCTACGTTTTTTCTTTCAGATTTTGTCATAAAGCCTCAATCTATACTTAAGTACATCAGTACGTATATGGTATGTGAATTGAGCTGTTAAATGGTGCGATTCATGAAATTGTATGCATGTTGAAAATTTACACTACTTGTTTTCTTCTAGCTTATGAGTTTTTAGAAGCACCAGTTACTGTAAGTCATCCTTAGACATTCATGTGTAAATGTGCAGAAATATATTAATGTAATGCATTTTTATTTCAGTCCTTCTCAAAAGATTCCTCTCGAACACGTAAACCAAGACTTGTTGTTGGGCTGAATGGAATGATTCCTAGGTACTCGGAAAGCCAAGCATTTGGACAAGAACTCCTTCAATCCTTTGATCAAACTGGGACTGAAATGTATGTATTCTGTATTAACATTAAGTTGTAGCATATGTTCTTTTGTGTTTTTACTAAATTTAGTAATTTATACAGGAAAAGGGTTTACTAGCCCCTTGCTCCCAGCATTTTAGTCACCTCTTATGACATGCATGGCTTATGGAGGAATTCTTTTTTACTTTCCAAAGGAAAATATGTACTAATATTATCGTATATAATATCTGTGCCCATGGGATTGTTATGGTAGAAATTTATATAAAATAACTTAATTTTAATTTCACTTTTTTTTTTGTAAGTGTTGTATTTAAGTAGCTCTCAGGTACCAGTTGCTAGTACAAATTAAAAAAAAATACTCAAGCATGAGTTTATAATTATTCAGTGTGGGGCATATCTTAGCATAGGTTATAATGAAATACCTTACATGATATGCCAAGAGGAACGTTATAGTTATAAAAGATAAACATAGACAGCCCTAGGTTCATCAGGTAATGCAAGGAAGTGAAAACCAACCAGGTATTAGGAACCACTAAGCATACTGCAAGTATTCTGAAGAAGAAACTGGGTATAGGAAAAAAAACTGAACAAGAGGACTGGCAGAAAACTGACTAGGAGAGCCTGGAATAAGTACAGATAAGAAACTGAAAAAGTATAAAAATCTCTTCCTTGGATCAATCCTGATTGCCTCTCGTTCCCCTAGTATTGCATGACCCTTGTGGGTTTAAAGCTTACCCCCTATGAATGTAACAATCATAAAAGTTGAAGGGAAAGACCAGCCCAAACTTTTCCATAACCATATAAGAAAAATACAAGTGAGTGAACAAGCGATAAGTTTTGAAATGAATAGGGAACAATATTTATAATTAAACAAACATATAACCAAGCATGGAGAGGGAAGCTCATTCACAAGCTACACTGGAGCATGTACTGAAGGCTGGAGAAAAAAAAAGGTAAGGCAGAAAGTGAAGAGTGTGCATGTCAGAAAAGCAATGGGGAAAGAATAAGGTCCTACAGTAGATACCAAATGTAGGATCAAACACCTTGAGTAAATCACTAACCATAATCTACAGTACTACATGAGAAACAGGAGAGATACTAAACACCTGGAAAGCAGTGGATGTGGTGCAGTTACCACTATTCAAGAAAGAGAACAGATCAGCAGTTATGGCATGCATACAATACTTAGGAAAGTATTCAAGAAGATCCTGGAGATTATAATTTTCAAAATGGCCCAACAGCACAGGTTCAAAAACAGAAAGTCATGGCTCATTAATCATCTCAGTTTTTATAGTAGGATGCCAGAATTGAGCAGTGTCTTTTTTCTGTTTGTGATTTATTTGTTGCTGCTGACAGAAGTAGAAGGGAATTTCATCATTCTTCCCAGTGGACTTATCAGGTTTAAAACCCGACTCATTTTCATCCACATTCCTACCTAAACTGAGCTGGCCTTATTTATGTCTACTTTTCTTTGACAGGAGCTGGGACAACACTTTTGCCTTTATTGTGAATTTTCTATCATTGCTTTGGTTATTGAAGCTATTATTCCTTTGGTTATAACTAAGAAAACCTTGGAAATAAGTGAATGCATTAATTTTTTAAATATATCAGCTTATTCATTTTCTTTCTTTCAACACACCAGCCGTATCCCACCGAGGCGGGGTGGCCCAAAAGGAAAAACGAAAGTTTCTCCTTTTACATTTAGTAATATATACAGGAATTGGGGTTACTTGCCCCTTGCCCCCGGCATTTTAGTTGCCTCTTACAACACGCATGGCTTACAGAGGAAGAATTCTGTTCCACTTCCCCATGGAGATAAGAGGAAATAAACAAGAACAAGAACTAGAAAGAAAATAGCAGAAAACCCAGAGGGGTGTGTGTATATATATGCTTGTACATGTATGTGTAGTGTGACATAAGTGTAAGTAGAAGTAGCAAGACGTACTTGTAATCTTGCATATTTATGAGACAGACAAAAGACACCAGCAATCCTACCACCATGTAAAACAATTACAGGGTTTCGTTTCACACTCACTTGGCAGGACGGTAGTACCCCCTGGATGGTTGCTGTCTACCAACCAACTATCTACAAGCTTACTCATTAGTATATAAAAAAAATATTGCTACCTACATTTCAAATGGATCTTTCACTGCTTAATACCAAAAATACGTACTGTATAATTCTTCTTAACAGCTTCCTTGGGTATGAAGTTTTACGGGCAGGAGAGGAAGATCTGCGTGTTCTCATCTCCAGTGGACAGGTGCGAGTATTTAGCCAGAGTGAACCTTCTATGGCACCCACACCTGTACTTACAGTTTATTACAGGTAAGTCATCAACCATTCCTTTGATATACTGTGCTGTAATTATTCCTCTCCAACACAGTATGATTTAATTACCTCACATACTGAATTATTCAACTTCATGGTAAAAGTTGGTAAAACCAGTGCATATCCCTCTTGTGCCCATGGGCTTGGATCTTGTTGAAAGCTTCTAGGAATGATCAGTCAAGATTAGAATTACAGTTTATTGTCATGAAGACTGTGTACAAATTTAGTAGTTTTATTTATTTATTTATTTATTTATTTATTTATTTTTTTTTTTTTTTTAATAAGTCGGCCGTCTCCCACCGAGGCAGGGTGACCCAAAAAAGAAAGAAAATCCCCAAAAAGAAAATACTTTCATCATCATTCAACACTTTCACCACACTCGCACATTATCACTGTTTTTGCAGAGGTGCTCAGAATACAACAGTCTAGAAGCATACACATATAAAGATACACAACATATCCCTCCAAACTGCCAATATCCCAAACCCCTCCTTTAAAGTGCAGGCATTGTACTTCCCATTTCCAGGCTCAAGTCCGACTATATGAAAATAACCGGTTTCCCTGAATCCCTTCACTAAATATTACCCTGCTCACACTCCAACAGATCGTCAGGTCCCAAGTACCATTCGTCTCCATTCACTCCTATCTAACACGCTCACGCATGCTTGCTGGAAGTCCAAGCCCCTTGCCCACAAAACCTCCTTTACCCCCTCTCTCCAACCCTTTCGAGGACGACCCCTACCCCGCCTTCCTTCCCCTATAGATTTATATGCTTTCCATGTCGTTCTGCTTTGATCCATTCTCTCTAAATGACCAAACCACCTCAACAACCCCTCTTCTGCCCTCTGACTAATACTTTTATTAACTCCACACCTTTTCCTAATTTCCACACTCCGAATTTTCTGCATAATATTTACACCACACATTGCCCTTAAACAGGACATCTCCACTGCCTCCAACCGTCTCCTCGCTGCTGCATTTACCACCCAAGCTTCACACCCATATAAGAGTGTTGGTACTACTATACTTTCATACATTCCCTTCTTTGCCTCCATAGATAACGTTTTTTGACTCCACATATACCTCAACGCACCACTCACCTTTTTTCCCTCATCAATTCTATGATTAACCTCATCCTTCATAAATCCATCCGCCGACACGTCAACTCCCAAGTATCTGAAAACATTCACTTCTTCCATACTCCTCCTCCCCAATTTGATATCCAATTTTTCTTTATCTAAATCATTTGACACCCTCATCACCTTACTCTTTTCTATGTTCACTTTCAACTTTCTACCTTTACACACATTCCCAAACTCATCCACTAACCTTTGCAATTTTTCTTTAGAATCTCCCATAAGCACAGTATCATCAGCAAAAAGTAACTGTGTCAATTCCCATTTTGAATTTGATTCCCCAAAATTTAATCCCACCCCTCTCCCGAACACCCTATCATTTACTTCCTTTACAACCCCATCTATAAATATATTAAACAACGTGGATTAAAGGAGGTGCGAGTTTTCCGAAGTTCAAGTTAGACTAGATCACTGATTTTGTTGAATGATAATAGGCTGAATATAGTTGCTAGTTATCGATCTAAATGCACAGACTCCATATATTAGATATTGACAGCTTATTAAGTAGTGTTGTACAGAGTAATACTGATTTTTTTTAAATATTCCTTCTGGTTCTTTACATTTTCTTTAGCTGTTTGTTGTACGAGTTAAAATTATAATACTTTTTAAAAGTGTTTGCCTAAAATTTTGCCTTATTTGTTCTTGATAATGGTTATTATTAATTGGTTGGATGATTTGTTTAAAAATACTAAGATGTAATTTTAAATGAGATCATTTGTTTACCAAGTGAAAGCAAGGTGTGAATTTTCAGAAGTTCATTATTTACACTTCATTGTTTGAGAAAATGTAAAAAGTATCATCAGCAAAGAATGTGTTTTTAGGATATTTATTTATTTGAGCATAATTATTTAAAGGTAAACATTAATTTCAGAGATTTGTATCAGTGCAAACCAGTTGTTCTTCAAGTAGATGAATTAGAAACAGATCAGAAACACTACATAGAGTTAAGTCTTAAAGCAGAGAAATCGGAGACACCCGGCATCCCTCGACCCTCAGATCTGCCCTATAAAAGACCTAAAGTTCGCTGTGATTCCAGAAGTATTGCATTTAAGGTGAGTAATGCCTTTCATATTGGTTCTTGCAAGGTATCTGGTTTATACTCTGTCATTACCACTCATGTATTTATCATAGCTTTGCTTAAATTTAACAGAGTATTTGCATCAGAGATACATAGGTGCATAGGAGAAATCAAACATCATTCCTTTGGACCCAGTTGAGTTTTTTCTTTAATAGATGACAATAAGATAGAGAAAACAATGTACAATGTAAGAAGCTGATTTATAGAAAACTATTTTTAAATGTATATTATATTGTACTAATGTATAGTGGTACAAAGACTGTGAGGTACTACTGTACTGCACTGCAAGGAGGAGGCTGGAGGCAGTGGAGATGTCGTGTTTGATAACACTGTGTTGTGTGAATGTTATGCAGAAGATAGAAGATGCATCATTTTTACAGTTTTACGTCATATTCTTTTTCAGGTGGCACAGCAGATCAACTATGCGAGGAACTTACATGATGAGCTACGACAGACACTGCTTACTCAGGAGGAAGAAAATGTTGAAGATTAAGTGCTTATAAAATTTGCTTCCAGTTATAAAGATAGAGAAATGTCTTTTAGTGCTGTGATAGTATGTAAAATAATAATTTATTATTATTAATAATACTGAAATATATAGAAAGTGATGTATGAGATGTAGGTAAGGTAATTTATTGCCTTGACATATGTCTGTGGTTGGTGTAATCACCAAGTTTACGCTGCTTATTGTACATGTATATATTTGTTGACATCGTTATGCCTCTTGTAAAATATATACTATATCTATTTTTTAACCTCATACATGGAATATATTATTTTTAAAGTTTATAATAAGAGATGACAGTACCTCATTCACAACTTGGTTGTAATGCACCTATTTTGTGACCAGAACTGGAACCCTGACTACAGCTCATTTAGTCACTGTTAACTGGGATATATGAGAGATTTTGTCAGGACCTGTCCCAAAAATCTCAAACTGGTTAGTGATGCTGTATTTATTGTTTCAAAATTAGTAAACATGAGGCTAAAGACTTGCTGTTAGTTATCATTCATTTCACAAAGATGAAGCTTTAAATTATACTGTAGTAGTTGTATTTATTTATTTACTTATTACTAGTAAATAAAAAAGGCACAATACCATGACTGGAATGATACACAAATAACCCGCACATGTGTGGATTATTTGTGTATACTTATTATTAGTGTGCGTATTAATACTCAAGTTCCATTAACGTGAGATAAATCTCTGGTGTATCATCTTGCCTTATCATATTTGTGGTCATGTGTAAATACATGGTTACTTCAAACTCCAGACAGGCAGTGCCTTGTTAGCTAGATCACCTTCACTCCAACCTTTTAACATGTGTACATTGATTCTCATTGGTTTCATGCAAGATTTGCAAAGATATTTCACAAACATTGTTCATGAAATTTGAATATTTTTTGTAATATAATAATTTTCTGTGTTAAAAACAGAATTTCTTTCTTCTATTTCATTGCTTTGATGTATTGTGTAGTTGTCTTCCTAATATTTAGTTCATGTTAAAATATTGTAAAGTCAGACCCTGACTATAAAGGAATTGTTGTATTTTTGTGTTTATTGGAAAAGTCAGTCAGTCTCTTAAAATAAAATCAGTGACTGGCACACTTAAAATCATACTTAATATATATTATTCAGACTTTTGTTACCTATGTAAATTGTAATGCCTACGGTAAATGTGTTTTCATAATATACACCTGAATCTTCAGTTGATGTGGCCAAGTGGATTTTTTAAAGCTCATTTTATTACCATTATATTTTATGTTCTTGGAAGAAGTGTGTGAAAGCCTGGAGTTGGTAGGTGCCCAGAAGGTTATAAACCAAGTTTGTTCATTTATGTAGTTGAAGAGAAGTTCAAATATTGTGTTGGCTCAGGTGAGTGGCCAGTAATACAAAGACATTTGCACTAAGATTAATGTGCTGTACCGGAAAAAAGAAATTTAATGCCTTTAAATTGAAGCTGTTTTATATTATAAGATTTTACATTTAGTTCTTATTACTTTGCATAATGTCCATAATTTAAAAATATTGCAATGTAATATTAATGTCTTCTAGAATTTTTTTAACCCAGTATTTTTTGTTAAATATTCTTAAATGAATAATGGTCTCATACATAAAAATTTTTTGTAATGTAATTTAGCTTAACTGTACTTAATGTAGAGCCCAAATAATTGGTTTGCAATTTAAAAACAAAAAATAGATCATTTCTTTTTTCTATATTAGGTTTTCAGCCCTAAGAGATTATAAACATTTTGTTTTATAAGACAGCATAAGGATAATCCTAGTCATATGGTAACCTGTTTCAGTGGATTATTATTATTATTGTATTGACTAATGCACATTGCCCACCCTACTTAGTGACGCATGTAGTCACTTAACCGAAACCCTTGGCTGTCTTGTAATTATCAAACCACCTTCCTACTTCATTTTCCTCCATTTCCTTTGTTTCTCCCACACAGCCTCTCCTGGCTGAGCCTTTATCTCTTTCTCGGAAACTTCAAAGTCCCAAAACTCCCTTCCAACCTCTTGCTTGCCCACACTTGACTTTCTCTCTGCATCTTCCCTCTTGCCTCCTATGTCTGCAACAGTTATGAACATCCATGTACCCCCACTTATTGCTTCTGCTTAAATTCCTTCCTCCCAGAACACCCCTTGGCTCTCTCTCCTACAGTTTTGACAGCTACCAATGTCTCTTTGCCCTTTGCTCCATCTCCCTCTTCTAACTCTTGTATCATGCTTCCTGCTGTTTCTCTGTATTCAGAAACTCTTGAGGCCATATTAGCTCTTAGTGAGGAGACAAAACCTATGATGGATACCAACCTGTCTCCTTTACCTTCACATTCTCACTCTCTGCAACCCCCTACACTTGCTAATCATCATCTTTTAAGACTACTCACACTTGCTTATTTCTGCCTTCTCCCCATCCACCACATGTTGGCTTTACTGATGACCCTAGCCACCACCTGCTTTCTGTTGCTGTTGTCTTTTTTCTGATAATGGCTTTATTGCAGTGGAATATCAGAGGATACAGGAGAAACTACGGGGGGATCCAAGTGTTGTTCTCTCAATTTGCATGTTTGTATCTATTTACAAGAACCAAAATTAATTCCACTATTTGCCTTCCTATATTTGGCTATGTTTTATTGCAATCACTTAAGTCTTTTCCCAATGAGACATTTAACAAGAATGCACTTGTACGCATTAATATTCTTTACTCTCAGCTTTCCATCCATACTTTGCTTCATTATACTGTGGCCCATGTGTGTTTGGGCAAGTAGTGCACTTTCTGCTCTTTGTGTCTTTCCCCTTCTCACCCATTATCTTTATTTCTTCCTTACCCCTGCCCCTCCTTTTATTAAGTGCTTTTAATGCTCATCATATCCTCTGAGGAGGGTCCACTGTGACTTGTGTGGACCAGTTGGAGGCTTTTTCCACCTTTCTCTCTTTCCATGTTTTAAATACTGACACCCCTGCTTGTTTAGATCCTCTCACTTGTTCTCTTTTCCATATAGTTCTCTTGGTATGCCCTCTTCAAGGGAGTCTCCTTGGTGCAGTGAAGAGGCTCTTGGTCTGAGGAATTAGACCTTATGGTCTCTTTCCTCAGATTGAACCTAATTACTGCCCAATCCCCCCCTTCCTTATCCCATCCTCCCTATCCCCCCCTTTTCCCTTTCCTCCCCCCTCCCAACCCTCCCTTTTTCTCGTCCTATTTGTACCTTTGGGGTCTTCTCTTCTGGCATTACAGTTTCTAGGTAGGGGGAAGTGTGCCAGGGTTCATCCCACTCCGTGGAGTCCCTCGGGTGAAGTGTAGTTTGCTGTGGAATCTGGATAATTTGGAGGTGCCCTGCTTCCTTCCCGGATTTCCAGGAGGTGGGGTAGGGTGTCCTGCAGGTGACAGGTGTATTTCCAGAGGATGCCTGTCAGTTGTGGGAGGTGGCAGCTGAGGGAGGTATGCTTTTTGGCTGGTGTTCGACTGCCCTCTCTTTTGTCCGCTGAGGTGGCTCAGTGGATGTGAGGTTGCTATCCCAGAGTGCTGGTTTACTGCCGTGAAGGGTAGGGTATGGCACGGGTTCCTCGCTGCATCTGCACTGCTGGTGGTTTCGAGATCCTCTTGGATGAAGGGAGGAACTTATGGCTCTCCCATGCCTTCTAGTAACTGTCCCTCCACTGTCCCTTTCTTTTTTTCTTCTTTTTTATTTTCCTTAAAATAATAATAAGAAAGAGTGTCTTTGTTCTGTGACCCCCCTCCTCCTCCTCTTCCTCCTCCCAGACCTCTTTTTGTTACTGCATCCTGTTCTAACCCAGCTTCGTTATTGGACCATTCTCCAGACTTTTCCCATACCCCTGTACTTTCTGCTGGTGACACTTCGTCATGTGCTCCAGGTGCTGAGGCTCCACCTGTTTCTTCTAGTGCCTCTGCCCCTTGCGCACCTTCAACTATGCATCTGGCTTCCCCACATACAGTGCAATGGTTTTTGGATCATCCACCTACCTAAAGTTGGGCCGCCTGCAGTCCTACACCTAAACATTCCAGACCCTTTGCTGACGATGGTCTTTTAATTTCTGTTCATCCCTGCCTTTGACTTATGATCACTTTTTTATTTTTTGTCAGTAACTGCTTTACTATACAAACTTTGACATATAGCCCCTAGCGTCCCTTCCACCCTTTGATCCCTTCTCCACCTAGCCGTTTATAGCCCTGGCATTATTTTCTGCCCCGCAGCGTTGCACAACCCTTGTCAGTTTAGCGCTTCATATAATAATTTTGGTATGCTCTTTTATAGCATTGGCATTTGCTCATTGTGTTATATTTGTGGCAAAACATTCTTGTTGGTAAGTTTGTGTGTCCACTGTTAATTCCACTACTTCTGTGTGTGCATTCTGAAAATGACTGGCAAGTACTCTCCAGTTACTGCTCCCATTCTTACAGTTGCTAGTGCTGGCATTGCAGACCCTGTTGAGTATGCCACAACAATGGTCATCACCTTGTCCAAGTATCCCACAGGCTTCATCTCTCTCCCTTTTCTTTCTCAAACCTGTGAGGGAATTGGCCGCACTGGATTTTACTACTCGAATTGAGGAACCTTATAACGTGTCTTTCATGCTCCATGAACTTATGTCAGTTATTACCATGTCAACCGACAGCACCTTTGCAGATTCCTCCTCTCACACATCCCTTCCTGCAGTGCTGTATGGCTCTCTTGGGTTTAATGCTTAATTTGATTATATTATTCTTAAAAATAGTAACAAAAACAGACAGGTGAAGATACTGGAAAGGTGGACACATGGAGCAGAGAGGAATAGAATCTTTCAGGAGTCACAGGTGAGTGTGGAAGCAGTGGGTGAGGTATCAGTTATGATAAAATTGTTTGACAAATAATGATTTTGACATTGTTTTATCTCTACAATTATATTGTATTAACTATGCAGTCACTAAAATTGCAAGAAAGCATACAGGACAGGGTGCACTCTATTAAACCACATTTAGGTTTGTGGCTGTCTTCTTACCATCATTTCCATATTCGGGAGACTGTGCTCTCCCATCTCCGCATCGGTCATACTCCCCTTACCCACGGGTATCTCATGGAACGACACCCTATTCCTCTCTGTGAGGTTTGTTGGGTCCCTATTTCGGTTCTTCACTTTCTTGTGGATTCCCCAGTTTACCAGCAAGCTCGCAGGATTTACCTCCAACGCCACCACCGCCTTACTGCTCTTATCTTCCCTTCTTGCAGATGGTCCTGCGTTTGACTTACAGACCTTTTTGACTTTTTATTAGCAACTGCTTTACTATATGAACTTTGATACATAGCCCTTAACATCCCATCCAGCCCTTTTATCTCCACCTTTGATCCTCTCTCCACCTAGTTGTTTATAGCCCCGGCACTATTTTGTGCCCCACAGTGCTGCATGACCCTTGTCAGTTTAGCACTTTCTTGGATTATAATAATAATGTACCCTGTCCTCTATTATTAATTTTTTTTTTTTTTTTTTTTTTTTTTTTTTTTAACAAGTTGGCCGTCTCCCACCGAGGTAGGGTGACCCAAAAAGTAAGAAAATCCCCAAAAAGAAAATGCTTTCATCATTCAACACTTTCACCTCACTCATACATAATCACTATTTTTGCAGAGGTGCCCAGAACACAACACTTTAGAAGCATATACGTATAAAGATATACAACATATCCCTCCAAACTGCCAATATCCCAAACCCCTCCTTTAAAGTGCAGGCATTGTACTTCCCATTTCCAGTACTCAAGTCCGGCTATATAAAAATAACCTGTTTTCCTGAATCCCTTCACTAAATATTACCCTGCTTGCACTCCAACAACTCGTCAGGTCCCAAATACCATTCGTCTCCATTCACTCCTATCTAACACGCTCATGCATGGTTGCTGGAAGTTCAAGCCCCTCGCTCACAAAACCTCCTTTACCCCCTCCCTCAACCTTTTCGAGGATGACCCCTACCCCACCTTCCTTCCCCTACAGATTTATACGCTCTTCATGTCATTCTACTTCGATCCATTCTCTCTAAATGACCAAACCACCTTAACAACCCCTCTTCAGCCCTCTGACTAATACTTTTATTAGCTCCACACCTTCTCCTAATTTCCACACTCCGAATTCTCTGCATAATATTTACACCACACATTGCCCTTAGACAGAAAATCTCCACTGCCTCCTCGCTGCATCATTTACAACCCAAGCTTCACACCCATATAAGAGTGTTGGTACCACTATACTTTCATACATTCCCTTCTTTGCCTCCATAGATAATGTTTTTTGTCTCCACATATACCTCAATGCACCACTCACCTTTTTTCCTTCATCAATTCTGTGGTTAACCTCATCCTTCATAAATCCATCTGCTGACACGTCAACTTCCAAATATCTGAAAATATTCACTTCTTCCATACTCCTCTCCAATTTGATATCCAATTTTTCTTTATCTAAATCATTTGATACCCTCATCACCTTACTCTTTTCTATGTTCACTTTCAACTTTCTACCTTTACACACACTCCCAAACTCATCCACTAACCTTTGCAACTTTTCTGTAGAATCTCCCATATGCACATTAAGAGATGTAAAGAAACTTCTGATGGACCTGGATAAATCATAAGGAATGGAACCTGACAGGTGTCACCATGGATTCTGCATGAGGGAGTGGAAGCACTGTATGAACTATTAGCTAGGATCTACAAGAAGTCAGTGGTTTTGGGACTGTTGCCCGAGATCTGGAAGACAGTAACTGTAGTCCCTACATGTAATAAAAGAGAGAGAGAGACAGACAGCAGTGAAGTAAAAACTAGTGTGTCTAACATGCATACCATGTAAGGTAATGGAGAAGCTTATCAGAAGTCTCAGAACACTTAGCGGGAAGTTGTTTTATAAACAATAACCAACACAGGTTCAGAGATGGCAAATTTTGCCTTACCAACCAGTTGGAATTCTGTGACAAACTACCCTTCAGTGGCTTTGATCCAGGAATCTGGACTTGCCCTACCCTTCCTTGGATTGAACCCAAATGCCTCCCATTCCTCAGGTGATGGGTGACCCCTGTGGATTTTGCGCTTTCCCTTGATACAAGTAAAATCAACGTGACAAAGTAACAGATGCGAAACTAGGAAGGCATTGGAAACTACCCCACAAGCAGCACTGTATGACCCTTGTGTGTTTAGCGCTTATAATGTACCCCACAAGAGGCTGGGGCAAAAACTTCAAGGTGCAGACAGAAATAACAGAAAACATATTCCAGTTTATTGGAGAGTACCTTGGGGGAAGGAAACACAGTGACTGTCAGGGAACAGACAGCAGGATGGGGAAGAGGAATTAGTGGAATGACAATTCACAGATTGTCCATGCACCAAAGAATAGAATAGGTGGCACCACCTTTCAGGAGGCACTGACAGACAAGCGATAGTGCTGATGTAGCACACACATCACCACTTAGTAAGAAAAGTATCACTTAGAAACATCTTTCACTAACAAATCTGGACAAAAAAAAAAATGCACTACAATAAATGAATCTTGAATACCTGAGTGGCCATAGATTTCCACGAGAGTCATAACACATGTTGGCCAAGGCATCTTTCACCCTTTAAAAAAGTGGAATGTGCATCATGAGAGTTAATGATATATCAAGATGAAAAAGTAAGGCATAGTTACACCATTGGCAGGACTGTAGTGATCATACACAGGTAAGAAACCCCTCAGTATGTGTTGCGGGAACATTGTCGTCCCTCGCACAGTATAAAATAGATACAAATACAGTATAATGCTATCCTTTATTGACAATGTTTTGCCCACTGAGTTTTACCAAAGTTGGGCTGTGCGAGTACAGAAATTGTTGAAGCCCATCACTGAGCTTAAAGGATAAAAGATTGCTTGCCTTTCCATTTTGGACATGCAAGCGGGTTTTCAAAATTCAAATTCAGAAATTTATTTCTTTGCATAGATGGTAGATGGATCTAGAGTAAAATAAGAGGCGGCTGCAGTGAAAAGCTCTATACCACAAGGTACAGACAGTACTTACCCCAATAGTTTCCTCATCCTCATATTTGACATAGACAAAGATGTAAGCTACAGCGCCGTGTCCTTTCCTGACGATACCAGAATTTGCATGACAGTGTCATCCATCGAGGACTCTGCAAATCTCGAAGCAGACATTAACCAAGTCGTTAAATGGGCATCAGAAAAAGTTCAGTGAAGAAAAATTTTAATTACTCCGCTATGGAAAACTCGAGGAAATAAAAACTGTATCGGAGTATAAAACCAATTCCAATCACACAATAGAGAGAAAAACTAATGTGAAGAACCTGGAAGTGATAATGTCAGAGAATCTCACTTTCAAAGATCACAACAATGTATCTACCACATATGCTAGGAAAACGATAGTATGGATAATGAGAGCAATCAAAACCAAGGATTCCAAGAAATGACGATTTTCTTCAAATTGGTTGTTCTCTCTAAGCTGGAATATTGCTGTACACTAATGGCTCCTTTCAAGGCAGGCAAAATTGCAGATCTGGAGAATATTCAGAAAACTTTCACTGCACGTGTAAGTACCAAAAAGAACCTAAATTACTGGGAACGGTTGAGGGCCCTTGACCTGTACTCCTTGGAATGCAGGCAAGAAAGATACATGATACTGTACACTTGGAAAACCCTAGAGGGACTAGTGTCAGATCTACACGCCGAAATCACTCCCTACGAAAGCAAAAGACTCAGCAGGAGGTGCAACATTCCCCCCCCCCCCCCAATGAAAAGCAGGGACGCCATGAGTATGCTAAGAGACAACAAAATAAGTATCAGGGGCCTAAGACTGTTCAACTGCCTTCCAGCTTGCATAAGGGGGATTACCAATAGACCTTTGGCTGACGTCAAGAGGGAGTTGAACAGAAACCTTAAGTCAGTACATGACCAGCCGGGCTCTGGTTCGTACGTCGGTCTGTGTGCGGCCAGCAGTAACATCCTGGTTGATCAGGCCCTGATTCGCCAGGAAGCCTGGTTATGGACCTGGCCACGAGGACGTTGACCCTCGGAATACCCTCCAGGTATACAATGTGTAGTTTACATGTAGTAAAATACTGTGAAGCACAAAGAAAGCTACTAGCATGCATAAGGAAGTTTTGTGTAAATGGCCCCCAGGAGTTCATGATAGGTTGATTTAGAATGGATGTGCTGTATAAGCCTTGTGCTTAGGCTGCTTTCCTTTCTTGATTATAATAATAATGAATAATTATAATGGTGTTGCTGTATAGCCCTTGTGGTTTAGCGCTTCTTTTTGATTATAATAATTTATAATGGTGTTGAGAGAGCACATACTATGGGCACATGAAAAATACAATATGTAGATATAACGTTGGATAACCCAGTAAAGTCAAACAGTGTGATTTATGCAATGTGTAAAAATAAGTACATAAGATTTAAAGAGTAAAATAAGGATTTGAAAAAATGTTTGAAGCGACCGTCTACATTACAATATTTCATATGGAAAATTGATTCCAATAATAGTGAGAAGAAAATTAAGATCCCATTCATAATACATATAGCTTCAAAATACCTTGAAAAAAATGCAATTACATTGGGATGTGGAGTATAGCATTAGTAATATATATGGAGTGTACTGGGTTGAAATGCTGCTATAATGAAAACGCAAAAATGCTTTTACAAAGTGCTCAGTTTTAGTTAGGAAGTATGAGGTGTGTAGGAAGAGCTAAGGTTGAGCACCAGTTGTGGCTCAGTGTGGTACCAGACTTCGTTGGCGGAGGTTATTCGTACACTCTTCATTTGCAAAAACTTTTTAGTATGTTAAATAGTATAACGTGTATTAAAACGTAATATGGACATTTCCGATAGTTTTTGTAAACACTATAATATCGTGCCGTAATGTAAATTTATTAACGGTGAGGCAGTATCAAGACTAATTTTTTTCTTGAATTTAAAAAAAAAAAAATGTTAGTGAAAAAGTTGAAGTTCGTATTATTAATAAGTGTATTCGCTTTATTCGTATATATTAATATACACCTGAAAAATTCTAGAGTACTGGAAAGTTACATACTAGATGTTAAACGAGGGATAGAAAAAAACAAAGGTAACCAGAATATTTCAAATAATATCACCAACAACTTGAAGCTCTGGGAACATAAAACATCTAATCATGAAATCATACATATTAATACCATTTTCAGAAACCACTCGTTCCTTTCCTCTGAACACAATTTTCCAGCAACACCAGCATCAAGACAAATAACCCTTCGGGTTGTTACATTTCCCAGCGCAACCAACTGCTCCAGGAAACAGTACAACTCGCAGATTAAAAAGCACAAGGGTGTTAGTAACCCAACGAGGGACTTGTACCCGTGTAGGCTGTGGCGTGAGGTTAACCTCCAGGACCCCCGCTGGCCTCCACTCCTCACCCCGAGTAACGGATCCATCCTCAAGAGTCTTCCAGTCCAACACCACGACTCTCAGGTACGACCTAGTGGCACTTCTACAGGAATGCAAGAAATGCACAGCATGTTAGCGGCTTTCTTTTGTGCTAACAATATTTTATTACATGTAAATTACATTTTGTATACTGCAGAAAGAAATAGTTATTAGTTTGATGAACCATGACGTGATCCCACACAGGGAGACAAACTGCATATATAACTCCTCAGCATGACCTCAGCGCTCGCCTGCCTCACAAGGCCGTTATCAGTGTTTTTACATACTTGATACAGTCCGGTCGTGTACACAACGTCGTAATAAAGGTTTAACTATAAACAAAATGTCTCGACTCGCGAAATCGTAATAACTTAATTGCAAACAAATTACGGAACAGGTGGGGCTTGAACACATGGCAAGGTGCCCGGTGGCTAAAGCTCCCGCTTCACACACGGAGGGACCGGGTTCGATTCCCGACGGGTGGAAACATTTCAACGCGTTTCCTTACATATGTTGTCCTGTTCACCTAGCAATAAATAGGTACCTGGGTGTTAGTCGACTGGTGTGGGTCGCATCCTGGGGGACAAGATTTAGGGCTCCAATGGAAATCAGTTAGTCCTCGATGACGCACTGACTTGGGTTATCCTGGGTGGCTAACCCTCCGGGGTTAAAAATCAGAAGAAAATCTTATTTCTCTTAAAACTAACAGGCCAGCAGGTAAAAAATAGTTTCAACCTTACTTTGCTTATTTATAAAGTAAAACAGCCGTGCTATCCATACATTGTGTGTTTTAAGAACATTAGAAAGGAGGAACACTGCAGCAGGGAAATACCTCTTAAGTTATTTAAAACAGACTGCCATTCGTGACCTACATCCAACTACCGTTAGGAATAAGTACCTGAACCTTCCCTTAAGGGTTGCAAGTTAGTGTTTTACACCACCTTCACCCCTCAAGGAAGGTTCCTTGATGTTGGTGAGGGGCTCTTGATTTAGGGAATTGGATATGTGCTCCAGTTCCCCGAATTAAGCCTGAATGCCTTCCACATCCCCCCCAGGCGCTGTATAATCCTCCGGGTTTAGCGCTTCTCCTTGATTATAATAATAATATTAATACACCACCTTCGTTCAAGCTCAAGAAATCTTGAGCCCTTGTGGCTTAGCGCTACTTTTTGATAATAATAATCAAGAAATCTTGAGCGAGTGATATTTCAGTTACAAGCAGAGCATGGTTATTGCATATGTATATTATGACTTTTGTACATGTATATAAGTAAAATCATCATATACGCCACAATTTACAGTTTTCACATCAGTTCACGCGGGACTGGGCTTTAATTATTAATTCATTCCTTTCTGCCCTATAACTTTTAAATTTGTTTAAATTCACCCATACCTTACTAAAATACAAGGTACAATAAATAATAATTCAAAGCGACATCTAAGCTACAATGTAATATTCTAATACTTGGAGGGTATTCCGAGGTCCGGTGGCCTGGTGGCTAAAGCTCCCGCTTCACACACGGAGGGCCCGGGTTCGATTCCCGGTGGGTGGAAACATTTCGACACGTTTCCTTACACCTGTTGTCCTGTTCACCTAGCAGCAAATAGGTACCTGGGTGTTAGTCGACTGGTGTGGGTCGCATCCTGGGGGACAAGATTAAGGACCCCAATGGAAATAAGTTAGAAAGTCCTCGATGACGCACTGACTTTCTTGGGTTATCCTGGGTGGCTAACCCTCCGGGGATTAAAAATCCGAACGAAATCTTATCTTATCTTATCTTCAACGCCCTCGCGGCCCAGTACATTACCAGGCCTTGTGGTGGATCAGGTTGTCTGCTGGCCGCACGTAAACCGATGTACGAAGCACAGCCCGGCTGGTCAGGTACTGACATAGGTGTCTGTCCAGCTCCCTCTTGAAAACGGGCAGGGGTCTATTGGTAATCCCCCTTATGTATGCTGGGAGGCAGTTGACGATCTTGGGCCCCTGACACTTATTGTGTTATCTATTAGCGTACTTAGGGCGCCCCAGCTTTTTACTGGGGTATGTTGCACCGCCTACCGAGCCTTTTTTTTCGTAGGTAGTGATTTCGGTGTGTAGACTTGTGACTAGTCCCTCTAGGATTTTCCAAGTATAAATTATGTATCTTTCTCTCCTGCGTTCCAAGGAGTACAGGTCGAGGGCTTTCAACCGTTCCCAGTAATTTAGGTGCTTTATTGTACTTATACGTCCAGTAGAGGTTCTCTGTACATTCTCCAGGTCTGCAATTTCGCCTGCCTTGAAAAGGGTCGTTAGTGTACAGCAATATTCCAGCCTAGAGATAACAAACTATTTGAATTCATGTTTGATATATACTGTAATGCATTACGATTGCAATCAAATATAAACACGTAAATAGTTCATTGCCACAATAACTTGTTTAGCTATCAAAACTTTGGGGCCCAGTTCCTGGATCCATTATGTACCTCTGTAATGTTGACAACTGCCCACAAGATGGATATTGGTTGCATAATACAGATATTAAACTAAACTTAAACAATAAACATTTTACTAAATGAACCTTCGTACTGCTCGTACAACTTGCCGGGCAATGGTTAAGAGTCTCTCCAACAGGACTGGTTACGTTTATATAGACTATTCAAGTCACCTCGACTTGATGTTAGTAAAGGGATCTTAATCCAAGGAATTAAAATTACCCTCCCCTTTCTTGGATCATACCTCCTATTCCCTTATGTGCCGTATAGCCCCAACAAGTTTACCACTTCCCCGTAAATCTAATATTACTTTGACATGGGGACTACTATTATTGATATCATATTACATAAAGATTTAGTGGAATAGTGGAGGGTTTCTTTACAAAACCCTCTTAGTAACAGCCTAGTTGATCAGGCTCTGATCCACCATGAGGCCTGGTCACAGACCGGGGCCGCGAGGGCGTTGACCCCCGGAACACTCTCCAGGTAAACTTCAGGTAAACAGTCGGTTTCATCTCAAACTCTTCCAGGGAACGGGGTGCCTATGAGCCAGGGGATTTCATCAAATATTAATTTCCTCCCATTCCCGGGCACTGTATGACCTCTACGAGTTTAGCATTTCTTCATAAATATAAAAATTGTAATCAACTCTCTCGGGGGGGGGGGGGTGAGTTCCTTATGAATGTGCCTATATTTGTTTTAAATTATAATTATATTTTTTCTTCCAGATTCAGAGTTTGATATCCGAGCAGATGGAGGTGCAAAAGGAGCGAGTGGCTCGGCTAACTAAAACTTGTCTCTCACATCCTGAAATAGCCATTCGTCAATATACAAACCTGGTGTGGGACACATCTAGGACACCTCCTGTGATTTATTGTCCTATTTATAAGGCAAGTCACTTTTCATTAATGAATTTTAAATATTCCTTTTCTGTCATGATGCCTGGAGGGTGCTTTGATCCTGACGAAGGGTTTTTGATTCAGAGAACTAGAGCTATTCCTTCTCTTCCTCGGATCAGACTTCATTACTTCCCATTCCCTATATAGGCTAAAAAACAAAACGTAATTCAAACAAGTATAATTTTCATAAGTGTGTGCTTCTTCTCTCTAAGGTGGCATCAACAACCTGGATGGTGTATTTCTTGCGTCTGGCGCATGTAAATGATCACAACACAGCCTTAGAC